GACATTTTTGATTTTTGTGCGACATTTTTGACATGCGGATGTGCCATGTTAACGAGAGCGTCCCCGTCTCGAAAGACAACTGTTTCCAAAATTAGGCCCCAGCACAGCTGCAAACGATTTTAAACGATGCACAAATCCTGAGCCCTGAACAAATCCTTTTGCCATTTACAATAAATTGAATTCGACCAATGCTGTTGCGGTCAAGCAAGCGACTGCCAACCAAAGTAACCCCCCGCCGCCCTACATCTTCCCAATTCCCTCAATTTGAGAATCAAAGTTGCAACTGAACCAACCAACCGAAATGCTACAAAACCGCAGGAAATTCGTCGAATTTGCCATGCGGTAAACTTGTGGCTAAGCCAGCAAAAAGGATGCACAAGCAACAGTCCTTGCTGCAGGCAATTGTTACCAAGTCCACTCTCAATCTCTCTCTCTCTCTCTCTCTCTCTGTGTGGACTGCATCTGTATGCCCAATGCCGAATGCGTTGGCGTATGCATAATTGATGCGAATGTTTGTGGCAGTGCCCAGCTTAGAAACCAGAGCCAGTTCTCATAATTGAGTCGAGCTACACAGAACCTTAGAGTACAAAAAAAGACCCAGCAAGCCAATAGAAAGAACTAAGAACGACTGCATAATACTCGTTCGCAATTTCAAATGCAAAAACTGATTAAAAAAGTCAATGTTTTTCACTTTACTGATCCGAATCCACTGAGGTCACGGCAGTATATATATATCAAATAATCTTAACACTATATTAGACGAAGAGATAAACAAGAAAATTCAAAATGTAACAAGCTTTACACACATTGCCTTAAAACCAATATACTCTTTTCCCAACATGAACGCGTATTAAAAGGTCTACTAGCCAAATTGAAAGCGAACAACAAAAACGGTAAAATTCATTTGAGCAGAGATTTTAGCCAAGAATACAATTGAAAGCAGTCATAGTAAAACTGAACAGCAATTACAAATTCTATAAGAATTTACTAACTACTTTAAAAATATTTATATATATATATGTAACATATACTAGTATATATCATGTGTTACCTATGCATGTCAACAGCTATTGAAATAGTCATATAATATTGGCACACCCGTACATTCCATTTCCATTTGAAAATCAAACTATTTCTTAATACAACAATAGATTAATCCCACGCAATTTCACAGTTACTTCCAGTTGTTCTTTTTTATGATTTTTACTTCCAAATTGGTAAATATATATTTTTTCTTTGGCGCCAGTAAGCTATAGAAATAACTCATAAAAAATGGAACAAAAAAAACGCAACAGCCCGCAGAATCTAGAAATCCACAATAGTTTTTTTCTTTTACGAGGCTCAACCGTTATCTAAATGGTTTATTTCACCTTCCCTCGACTTGTGGCCGGTAGAGCAATAAATTAATCAAAACTCGAGTGCGACTTCAATTGTAAACGAGTGTCTGGTTTTCTTTGGAAAATTGCAGCTCACACCTACACGCAGAGGCAAAGGCCGAAAGATCTGTAAATGATTTGTTTGACAACAAACACAGTGGGACACATACTCTGGACCTTTCGCAGAAAGGTAGCCAACCCAGCGGCGAGCAGTGTCGACCAGTGTCTATCAGTGCAAATGATCGAACACAGAACGTTGTGGAAATTGCAGCCGAAGATTATCAATATCGTCATCGTCGCCAGGCATCGCCTGTGTGGCCGCTCGAGTGGGCATCATTAACCTTTTAAATGCCAACAAAAACATTGAACTGAGCAAGGGAAGGAGAGACAAGCGACTGAGCGACTGAGAGACCTCTTTGCAAATGTCAAACGTCATGGCACTTATTGATGTTTGCTCAATACCAATCCGAATGCCCGTCTCGGCCCATTCCTCTGATCTTATAAGCCCGCACAAAGGGGTACAAAACAAAAGGACACCAGAAGCAAACGGCGACACACGCGCACACACCAATTATCACCCACCCCCATCAGAACAGAGTCGATTGCCCCTCACCCGCACTCTTCCTCACTCTAGTCGTCTTCGTCTTGGGCATAAAGTCAAACGTCATCGTTGACAGGCGAGTCATTGCTCAATGAGAGAGCCCTCACTCACATCGTCTCAGTGTTAATGAATAAGCAAAACAATAAAGTGAGACCATGTAATTTCAACAACAAAACGTTGTTGCCCATGCCTAAACGATCTCAGATTGTAAGGGCTGGTCAAATGACATACGCTACGAAATTATAATATATATCGAAATGAGTTTGGCAGTGGAATCTAATTAATGGAAATGCCTCTGGGATGAGCTGCGTTTTGAGATTTACTTGGAACGGAAGTAGGTAGAGAAATGCTTAATTGCTGTAAATGACGAATGCAATGGTTATCTATTCAAACGAATCATCGCCTAAGCTTTACATTCATTATTTAAGAGATTGTTTGAACTATTAAAACGCAATACTATTTAAATTCTGCTTTAAAAGTAATAGAACTGCTTTAGTTGGGAAAACAAGCAGTAGTTCAACAAAAAGCACAAGCCGTTTATAAAACTGCTTGCTTTTGAATTCATTTTAACAAGCAGCTTACTTATAAACTCATGTTAACAAAGCAGTTTCAATGTACAACTCAAATGTAACACTGAACTGAGCGCGATTTTCAAAATTGATATGTGACTTGCTATAAATCTAGTTTATAATACCGTGCATACATTCAGTATGTGTAATTTGAGTATTTATGCATATGCAAGTTAGTATATTATTGTACCGTATTTACATATTGCGAACAGCACCAACGTATTCAATAAGCTTACACTGCTTGCTTTTTAAGTAAGTTTTACGGACTGTTAAATAACATTGCAATGCCCACTGCTGTTATAGCAGTAGTTTCTAACTCTGTTCAAAGTAATTACTTTATTGGCAAGGTTAGCCACACCACAGATGAAGTGTTTGCGGCAATATCGCCCGATCCCTGCCCACACAAGGCAACAGTTAGACAATGCAACAATGCCGACAAAAAATTTGCCATAGCAACTGAGAAAATTCCGCAGTTGTTGTTTATTTTGGATACGACGCAGCGAAACAAAACAAATGTGAAGCAAGACAAACAAATTCAAGAATCTAAACTAAATAATAAACAAAAACGAACAAAAAGCTTTGTAAAATGTGTCAGCTAACATTATTTTTATACACAAACATTTAGCCAGAAACACTGTAGTCAAAAAATATATAATTTTTAAATTAGATATACATAAACAAAAAGTGTGAAGAGCCGCGCCAATAATGCCAACGATTCCAAAGCGTTTGCCCATGGGCAGCAAGGGCAACGGCGGGGATATACTCAGCAGTGTTGTCACACGTACCGAGGTCACCGAGATGCAGCTCAAGTGGCAGGATAAGCCATGCCCTGCCCCGGCCTGCCAACAGAACTTCTGGTGGGCCAGCCAGCCAAAGCCAATCAAAATCAAAGGCTGTCCCAAGTAAGTTTTGCACAGATTTATGGGCGGGCCCTGGGCGAGGGTAAATGGACATGCCTTCATAATGGCCACTGAGGTCAATGAATCCAGTTGTCGGCCTGGCCGGCTTATTGAACAAAGAAAATAGTAAATACAAAACAGAAAACAGAAAACGAAAGTTATGAATTGCGCAAATGAATTATTAAACACAAGTTGGCATGTTCGACGAGTAGCCGGACCCGAGTCAGAGGATAGGCTTGAGCAGGCACGCAAGGAATCTATATACATTAGAGGCTTGTGTGGCTTAAAACAGAAATTGACGCACTTTATGGTTATAAATGCCGTTAAATGCAAAAATAGACAAGCTGACATTGCGATACTGTGAGAATTTTAGACAATGGGTCACATAAAGGACATCTAAATGCTGTGCTATGAGAATGTGGAGCGAGAGATATCCTTGAAATGCCAGAAGAACTAGAATATAGACAAAGCTATAAACCTAATTTCAAATAATATTGAGAACTATGGCCTTCGTGTAAGACCATGGGCTGGGGGCTAGCAGCACCGACTGAGCACTTTCCCCATAAAACTTGCTTCTTCCGATTTCCCTACATATATGTCTCCAAGTAATTAAAAGCAGCCAAATAAGTGGTCTTCACTCTTATCAGCAAATCTTCCAATTGAATTATAGTGCTCAGATATTCTAATTGAATATAATGTTAAGATAGATGTTGCTGAAACAAGTGCCCACGAGCCCGTGGCTGTTAGTCCTTGTAGATGGCATCGCAATGTCAACTTTAACCTTTGGGACGGCCACGCCCCACTCTTCCGCGCCATTAGGCGACACGTCGATAGTTCCAAAGAAAAGGACATGACTAGGCGACGACTTCATTAATTCTGCTTATCAGCGGCGCACGTCAACTAGTTAAGGTGAAGCTAACGATTGACCTTGGCACAGGACAAGGCGATTCCGAGTAGGCGACAGCTACGCCTACTCCAATTGAATGTCAGCGAAATGCGTGAAGTCATCTTAGCTTAGGCATGTGTGAGGTGGGGGTGGGGAGGACTTTCAGGAAATGTGGCACTTGACAGAAACACCTCGTGGTGTTTGCCTCAGGCTCTGGCAATTTTCAAGGACATGCCACATAACGAGCTGCCAGGAAGCGCTTTTAATTGGAAACACGACCCAGCTGCGCAAACTTTTGCGAACTATTCGAATACATAATGCGGCATGCAAAAGGTTTCGGCCTAAAACCGATTTTGGCGGCATTTCAATTGTGCGGCAACAGTCGACAAAGGCAGTTAATTGCTGGCATATGCGAGGAACACCTCACCTCTATGGGTGGTTGGAACCCATGCAGCTGTTTGTATTGTATTTGTGTGGCGATTGACCATGCGATGGCCGAACTGGCGAGCGACTGGGCCGATTGCTGCGGTCATTTGGCGTTCGCCACTCGAACAGTGCGGTCTAACGCGTGCTCCTTGCCTTGCTCTGTCCAGCCACAGCCAAAGGACAAAGGGGCAGCAAAACATAAAAAAGAAGTATTGATTAAGTTTTCGGTGTTTGTATTGTGGCTATTTATACGCAGGCAATGTGTAGCAAGTGTTTTGATTGACAAAGCCAAAGAGTAACATGCCAGAGGGTAACGGCAGCAGCAATGAGCAGCACATAAATCCAGACCACTTCCCAGACAATAGACCGGAGCAGCGGGCACAGAACTTCTCGTTTGCCACCAGCTATCCCTATGCACCAGGACGAAGCACCAACAACTACAACGATTACAACAATAAAAGCATCAATCAGAAACCGGCTTACAACGTGCAACGCTATCAGAGTCCTTACAATTTCCAACACGTGGTCACCAACGCCTTCTCCGTGCTGCACAATTCCGTGGAGCTAGACTACGAGCAGAGCGCACAGCATTCGAAGCCCAACCAGGCCATAGTGCGTCCGATTATTCGGGAGCAGTCGGAACATGTCGATGAGCCCATTGTCGCTGCGGGCAGCATATCATCGAACCCGCCACTGACCACGCGCTCCTTCTTCTCGCGCAGCACACAGGAGGTGCGCAGCTTTGCCGATGAGCTGAGCCAGAAACTGCGCTTCCTGGCGCCGGACGAGAACTACGGACGCGGCGCCGGCAGCAGCGGTCATAGCAGTGCCACCGCCGCCACCGGCGCCTGGCTATCCGGACGTCAAATGGAACGACCACGCTTCGAGACGACTGTGCCCACGGGCATCTTTCTGCCGCCACCACACGAGCTGCAAATGCTGCCCGCGTCCATGTTGCGACGCCATGTCTATGCCTACTCCTCCTACCCCATGATCCTGCACAACTACTATGCCAGCAATATTAACAACAACAACAACAACAACAATAGTATACAGAATTCGAATCAGAACAAGGACAATAGTCGCCAGATATCGCTGAATGATAAGGAAAATAACAAAGCCTCCACTAGGCAAAATGGTGTGCGTGCCACGGCGGCTGTGGCAGCGGCCGCTGCTGCCGCGGCCTCCAAAAACGATGCCTCTTCGCTGGCCGGTGGTCTGCACATAACCAAGGCGCAGTTTCAGCAACAGCTGCAGCAGCGACGCAACTTTAATAACGACAAGAGGTAATAAAAGACCGGGCGCCCCATTTATCCGCCAGAACAAAGGGCAAAGAATGCCCGACTAGGATATACCCAGCATTTAGCACATGCCTCTAAAGTAATACTAAGGTCCGAATATCTGAATTGGTTATAGTCTTTAGGGAAATGTGAGAGGTGTTTAAGCCTACGAAAACTTCATTAGTCTAACTTAATGTTTGGATAGACGAGCAATCAGGCAGATCAAAAACAGCATACCCTGTTCACCTTTTCAATGGGTAGAATAACTGTGCAAGCAATCCTCCTGCCCACCCTGCCGAAAGCAAGAAATGAGCTAACTGCTCCACAAAATATTTCCATAAATTCAAATGAGAAGCGGCTTGGGGGTCAGTCGCTAACTTTGGGGCTGCCCAGTGGCGGTGGTGGTGGTGTTGTTTTAGTGGCTAAGTCGTTAGTCAAACCACCTGCTTATCGATTGCTGCGTCAACAATTGAATTGAAAATGTTTTTTCTTTCAATTCCCTAGAAATTTTAAAAGTCCGAATGCTGATTAATTTATTTGGCGCATTCGTTAGTCAATTGGATTTTCCGCGCAAGGACATCGGACGGACATCAACATCGACATCGTAATGTGGCATGCAACGCGCCTATTTCCCTGTAACGTTTACTCTCCTCTCTCTCTCTCTCTCTCTATTAAATAATTTAAATCAAGATTTTATTGGCAACAGCTAAAGCGAAAAAAACAGGAGAAACAAGAAGAACTGGACGGAAATTTAGCTTAAATGCCATATAATAAAAGCTGAAAAAACTGAGTGTAGGATATGAGGCAGCAGGACATTATGCAGAGGGCATATGTGATACGTATATATATATATATATATATGAGAATATAAATAGCTTATATCGGTATGAGCTCTAGGGTCTGTATACATGTACACCAAATATTATTTGTCGGCCAATGTGTTGCCTACTTTTGCTTTGTGTACATATATATATATATTTACATGCAGAACATGTAACAGATGTAGAATGAATAGACATTTTGTTATAAATGGACTCAATTTGATATGCGGTAATCTGGTCCTAGAGATATAATATATATATGCATATTAGCTTTCCCCATATGTTATCCATCAAAGATAATCGTTAAATATGAATGACAGTGCATATAGCCGCTCGAATTCGATCATGCCTATATCATAGCTTCTAATACATATATAAAAATGTGTCCGATGCAGATTCGAAAACCTTTCACAAAATGTATTCAAATTTGTAATTACTAAAAAAGGCTTCAAAGCTTGCAGCTTTTATATATACAACAGATATATATATATATATATATATATATATATATACCTATACCTATCAGATATGTCTATATGTCTAAACTTAAGCCCTCACAACGTACTCCTCTTATTTTGACTATATACACTGCTATACAGCTATTGAAGTCGTAGCTGTGGTTGATTACTTTGCGCTTCAGGACCCAGACCCCGTATAGTAGACATTTACTATTTGGCTGTGTGCTGCTTGGCTGAGAACTTCAATGTGACTTCCTGTTAGTGGGCCACTTCTCTGCGCCAACAAACTCTAAAAATTTGCATAGGTCACGAGTTCAGGTTCCAGGCTCGCTAAGGAGTGCAATGTCTGACAATGTTATATATGTGTATTTAGCTATACCTCTATACCACACACACACACACACACATTACACACACATATACATATATATATGGATGGCATCTAAATAAGCAAGTCATAAATTACTGACCAGTCCAGGGGCAAATGGCTAGAGTCCTCTTTAAGCTTTTCTAGCAAGCGAACTTTAAGACCGCTTTACAAAGCTAGAAATGTGCTATGGACTAAGTTACTCTGCCCATTGACCCAAAAGTGTAGTGAACTTAACGGAAATTGATTCGAATCGGAGATGGCTTGACAAGCTAACGCCTCCAATTGAGGCAGGGGGCGGAGCAGGGTGACACGTGATGCACTACACAAATTTGATGTTTATCGCGTTAAGAGTGCAACAGATTTTGGGTCTGAATAAGTCTGAATGCTTCCGAGGGTAGCCCCGTTGTAGTTTGTTGAACTGGGTCGAGGTTTACTAATTGCCGGCTGTAACTCTGTTGTAACTCTTTCTAGGCCCGTCGTGCCACCGCCAGAGCCTTATATGAACATGATGTACGACCGTCGCGTCATAAAAGGAAGCAACTTTGGTACTCCGTCAATGCTGGTGAGTGGTAATTGTGACAGCAGCAACCCTGACCCATGAGTAATTGGTGTTTTTCCATATGTAGGCGGAGGTGGATCCATTTGACAAGGCTGCTGAGCTACGGCGCCGCAATATGCTGCGCAAGCGTTCGATTCAGTGCCGCAATCAGCGCAATGTCTTAGGTACACCGCCGCCAGTGCAAGGTAGAAAGCACGAACAATTACAAACGGAGAAGTATTTGGAAAAGCTGGTGCAACGCCCGCCAGAGTACACAGTGGACACACAGACAGATCTGTTTCTGGAGAAGCCGCCTACGCCACCCTATGTGCCTGCAAAGGTCGGAGTCGATGTGGGCACCGAGATTGGCGAAGGCGAACTGTTTCACTTTGATGCAGAGGCTCAGCCGATTATTGATGTCCTAGTCGATTCCTGTATAGAGCAGAGCATGCTTGAGGTGGCTCACGAAATGGAATTGGCTTCGCTGCGTCGCAAGCAGGAAGAGTAATTACAAAAAAAATTTTAAATAGTTGGTTCCTATATAATAATATATTTTGCTTACAGATTCCTGGCTCAACGCGAGGCAGAGCTGGCCGAATTGCGTCGTCTGGAAGCCGAAGAGCTGCGCTTGCAGGCTGAGAAAGATCGTCGCTTGCGCCAAGATGCGATTGCCAAGGAGCTGGATATGGAGATGCAGAAGAGTGTTACAGCGGCTAAGCTATTACAGGGACATATTGCTAGTCTAGTGCCCGAGGTGCTGGAGAGCATTGAGCCAGCCAGCGATGCTGTAAAGAAGGAACAACTAATGAAGGAAATTTGCCCCTGGCTATCTGAAGAGGTGGCCCAAGAAGTTGGCCACATTGTGGACTCTCGCGAAATACTTACAGCCATTATATTGGAAATTATCAAACAACGTGCATCAGCCTACATTGGCTTCAAGGAAGACGAGCCCGAGCCATCAGCCTCGGATGTCGGCATTTGCGAAGAGGAAGGATGCACACTCGATGATATGGAGACATGTCCATGTGAACCGGAAAGCGAATATTCTGAATGTCCAGAGCCCCAGCCAGATCCACCGCATCTGTGAGATGTGGGGCCTAATTAAAAATATAATAAGACATGACTTGGTTCAGTTAAGTTTTGAGTTTGAGGTCTACCCGATGGCCGTTAAGTGCGCATACTAACAAATTCATAAAGCTGCATTGTAATTGTGTCTGGCAACAAGCGTATGTAACTCGGTCGCTTGCTGCCACACACAATTTCATTAGCGCGAAAACTGTTGCATCAAAAGTAAGCAAACATTGTTAAAGGTTTATGTTTTACCAGAGTATTCAGCAATAAAGAAAAAAAAGTAATACGAAATTTTGATAATTGACAAAAACCGTTATTAGGGTAGTGTTGTAAAGCACAACCATTTCTACTTAATTTCATTTGGTATTTTGGTATTTTCATTTTACTTTCGGTATTATTGAACTTTTTGTTTGCAGTCACACCGATCCATCAAAACAATCCAGTCCAGCATGTCCAAAATATTCACACCCACAAATCAAATACGCCTTACGAATGTGGCCATTGTGAGGCTGAAAAAGGCTGGGAAGCGCTTTGAGATAGCCTGCTACAAAAACAAGGTTTTGTCTTGGCGCAACAACAGGTAGGGGATTAATATTAATCGAGAGTAGCAGAACTCAAATGTAAACGTTTGCCACAGCGAAAAGGACATCGATGAGGTCCTGCAAACACACACAATCTTCACCAATGTGTCGAAGGGACAGACAGCTAAGAAGGAAGAACTGCAAAAAGCATTCGGCGCCAAAGATGATACGGAAATTTGCAAGGAAATTCTCAGTAAAGGCGAATTGCAAGTCTCAGAGAAGGAGCGCCAAAGTGTGCTGGACTCACAGCTTAACAGCATTGTCAACAGTGTGGCTGCACTTTGCGTAAATCCCGAAACTCGCCGTCCTTATCCAGCCACCATTATAGAGAAGTCTCTGAAAGACGCACACTTCAATGTCAAGATGAACAAGAACACCAAGCAAAACACATTGGAGGCCATCAAAATCCTACGCGATCATATGCCCATTGAACGCTCCCGAATGAAACTGCGCGTAAGTTTTGCGGGCAAGGAAGGTGGCGGCAAGTTGAAGGAATCCGTTGTCAAGCTGGCCAATGCTGTGGAGCATGAAGAATGGGACGAATCAACGCTGCATTTGACTTTGCTAATCGATCCCGGACAATATCGGGTTATAGACGAGCTGGTGCGGAACGAAACTAAGGGTAAAGGCCTATTGGAACTGCTGGAACTCAAAGAAGTTGTGGAGAGCGATGAACTTTTCTAGGTGCTATATAAAAATCACTTGTATAAAATATATAGTTGGTTATTTATGTTAACGACATTTTGAATGCATAAAGATTAAACGGTGTGGCGATCCTGTTGCTTCATTTGCGCTTCTTCAAGTTCTCAAAGCGACGCGACAGTTCATCAAAGTCAATTTCATCATCTTCGGGCTTCTCATTGCCTGGAACATCGGGCAGATCGCTAGGGACATTTGGCAGCGAGGGCAAATCCATTGGAGGTGGAGCACTGGGCTGCTCCGGGCCGCCAGGCGGCAACTTTGAGCGTGGTTGTGGTTTCGGTTTATTGGCATTCTGCAGAGATAAAAAGGATATATAAGTCTAATATAATTCTAATCGGGAGTCAGCAGTAAGTGCAAGTCGCGTGGTCAAGATCAAAACGAAGCTGACCTGCAAATTAACAGGATTAATCGAGGAGTAACGTGGCGGTGGATCATTTGGCGGTTTGGGGCGCTGTTATATGCAAAATAAAAAGTCAAAATTGAAATCATAAATAGTTAAAATTATAAATAACACAGCGGAATATAAATACATATATCATAAGCACGAAGACGAAAAGCAAATACCACGACCATTATGACTCATTACTACACTTACTCGCAGATTGTGACGTCACAAAGAAACGACAACGGTACATTTTGAGTTAGAGCGAGTGGAAAAGTAGAGGGTAAACGAAAAGCAAAGTTAGTTATGAACCATGTCCAAGCAACCGACTCAAAGCTAACATACCAAAATATTTTCATCCGGACTGCCAGAGCCATCCGATTGCTCATTCTTGGTTTTATTTTCGTGCTGAAATTGCGCAATCATGCAGGAACATGCCAAAAGCTGAGCTCGACAACTACATAGGTATCATTAATTAAAATTAACTTACATTGATGAAATTCGTATTCAAATCCTTTTCCTCAGCGCACTTTGCCTGAGCGGAAGTCGATGGTGGCGGCTGGTTGGGCGGTATATTGTATGCAAATGGTGGCGGCGGCTGCACTGCAGCTGGAGCGGCATATGCTCCTCCTCCCCCTCCACCACCTGAAGGTGGATAATTGAATGGCTTACTACTGGGAGGCACTGGCATGTCCGGCAGCTGTGGCATTGGCGGATAACCAATGAAACCCATTTGCGGTGGAGCAGGTGCCCCGCCTCCGCCACTAAGATTATTACGATCCGACAAATCGATTAGATGATGCTGCTGCTGATCAGGCTGCTGTTGCTCCTGCATCACCTGTGGATCTGGCTCGTATTCAATGTTATAGTTCTTAGCAATGGCTATCAAGTAGTTCTCTACAAGCAGCTTGGGAGGCGCCTGCAGTGTCAGCTTATGCATCAGCTTCTCCGAAACGTAATGTTCGCCAGTTGCAGTGCGCGAATGCTCCGCGAACTCTGGCCCATACTTGTGAATGAAGATGTCGGAGATGACCTTCAGTTCGCCAATGTCGCTTTGCAAACGAGGACAAACCCAAACCAAACTGGACACAGGCTCGGCTATGCCAGCATCCAGCTCCTTCATTTGTTGAATCAGGCCAAAGCGTGCAAGCAACAGATCGCAGTACATCTCAACAATTTCCATGGCCTCCACCAGATAATCCTCACTGACAACGAATCAAACTATGAATTCAACTTATCTGCTTACTATTGGTATGCAGCTACCGTATGATGTGCTCCACCCTAATACGAGCTCTCTCTGTTTTGCCTGTAGCGAGATAGTCGGCAATTTCCTTGCGGGACTTTTGCGTGATCTCCGACTTCTTTTTTTCCAACAATTTGAGACGATTCTGCGCTAAACGCAGATTCGTCTTAAGTTTGTTATAGTTGGGGCCACTGGAGAACATCTTGTCACCTGTAGCTGAATTCCGTATCTACTATTCACTATAATTTTGCTCCCTCGATGATTCACTGATTAGGGAAAAACAAACTCTTTGTGTGACGACATAATTTGGAGCTGCCAACCGGAGGGTCAGAAAATGCATCAAATTTGACTGAATTAGGAAACCGTTTTGTATATTGGTTCTTATGCATATTTCAGTCATTTAATTAATATAATGTCATAACTAGTTTATTGTTTTCAATTTTGTTATGTTACAATACTTTTTTAATATTAAAAATATTTTCGAAATAGATCAATTGCGATTGATCAAATAATTACCGCTTCCACCCTTTAATCGCAATTTCAGGTATCAGCTCTGCCAACTTACTAAAAATATATAGCTACGTATTTTTACCCATTGCTTCGCTGACTGTTGTTGCTTCATCTTCCTCTTCAAAATAATTCGCAAGAGCTGCGCGCTCCTTTCGCGCTGCACAAGACATCGTTCAAATTGCCATTAATTCGAATTCTAATCATCAAAATAAAGTGTGCATTAGGACAAGTCAACCATGTGGCCAATGTGTTTTATAAAGGCAAAAGTGTCGGACACACGATTTGTCAGGAAAATTGTGAAAATTAAGAAAACTCCAGTGATAAGTGGCTTGCGGGCATTTAGTGGTCCCGCAAATTTGACTCACTGCCCTACATGCCAAATAGAGGTACCACTATACATTAGACGTAAACGCGCCAGAAGCAAACGTCGATAAAAGTGCAAAGCAAAACGCAACACTGAAAATGTTTGTAAACAGCTGTTAGTCAAAAGGCCGCCAGATGGCGTCACCTCATCTTGCTTGTTGGCATTGCCAGCTGCGAGTAAACGCCATATTTGATTCTGCCTCGTCGCTTTGGTGTTTGTTAAAGAAAGCGAATTTTCATGCCAAGCATCTGAGGCATATTTTGACTGAAATTCACAGATAAAAGAAAATGATTTAAATATTCTGTGCAAATGCGTCTGTGTATCCTATCGTGAGTTGTAAGGCGTAGCAACAACTGCAACTGGCTAAGGCTCAAAAAGGTAAAATAATATGAATGCAAAAAGGAAAATTGCGCTGCTGCCTTACGAGGCATGTGACGTCACAGACATACACGCACTCGCTGCGGACCAAACAATACATGGCGCAGATCTTACAACAACAACATGTCTTCCTTGCAGCGTTCGCCATGGAACAGTACATAGTACATAGCAATAGTGAGGACATGGAAATGAAGCCCGTCTATTCGGACCTGCAAGTAGTGCAAGTACCGCACGACGAAGTGAGCGTAAGTAAAAAAAATAAAGCACAACGTGGAACTGCGAGCTAATGCTTCTATCACAACAGTCTCTTGTGCTGCAGGACGATCAACAGCTCGTGTTCAGTGATCAGCAGCAAGTTGTCTACCAGACCACCGCCCCCGCGCAATATCAGCAACCCCAACAGACTACAACTGCGAGCCACTATATTATAGGCGCTGAGTTGCAACAGCAACAGCAGCAGGAAGTGCAACAACAACAGCAGCAGCAGCAACAAGTGGTAATGCACCATCAACATCAGCAGGTGCATTATCAGCAGCAACAGCAGGAAGTGCAACAGCAGCAGCAACAGTTGCGTCTGGAGCAACAGCAGCAATATGTGCAACAACCTGCCATTCAACATACACAGCAAATCTACTACACATCAGATCAAGTGCTACAGCCCAACACGATTGTGCAGCATGCATCGATGCAGCAACTGCAACAGCAGCAACAACAAAAGAAGCAGCAGCAGCAAGTGCTGCAACAGCAACATCAGCAACAATATCAACAGCAACAACACACCGCCTATCAACAACAAACGACGCCGCTGGTCCAGGCGGCACCCCAGCAACAGCAACAGTTGCTGCAAAGTCCGCAACACCAACAGCAAACGCTGCAGCTGCAAACGTCGCCAGCACAGCAACAACAACCGCAACAACACCCACAGATTGTCTACCGCATGACAACCACGCAACAACAGCAGCGACAAATAAGCGTAAGTACTTACCATAATTGATTAAAGCTACGAAATACATCAAATCAATACTCAATATCTTAATGCTATTATGAATTCAGTATATAGATATTCACTCAAAGCAAAACTATAAACTTACACTAACTTGGGAATTGAGACCCAATCCTACTTAGATTCATTTTCTGACAATTTCAGTTAAACGATATATATGGAATGTCATATTTTTTGTTTGACATACGAAACTGTAACTCCAAATTTTGACATACTTAGCGAAACCTTTTATTATCCGACTTTTAAGTCGAAATATCTGCAAAGCTCAATGCAGTTTTGAACAAAACATTAACAATTACGCTAAATGCTTTTTTATCACTATTATGTTTATTTGTGAGTTATGGTGAATTATTGATTTAATATACTGATGACAATAACTTGCTTGCAGATGCTTAACAACACGCATGTAATTGTGCAACAGCCCACTGGACAACAGGTGTTAATACAAGCGCCGCAGCATCAGGAGCTGATTATGCGACAGGCGACTGGCATACCGCAGCAGAGTATTAATATTCACGCATACAACAATCGCGTAGTGTACGCCACATCGCCACAGCAGCAGCAGCAACAACAGCACGTGCTGCAGCAGCACGTACAGCAGCAACAGCAGCAGCAGCAACAACTTCATCTACAGGCACAAACCACACATCTTGTGCAGACGCGAGTAGTGCCACAGCAAACGGGCAACGTAGTCTATCAGCAAGTACAGTTGCCTAAACCCACGTTACAGCAGCAACAGCAGCCGCAGCAGACTCAGCAGCAGCAGCAGCAGCAACAACAGCAGCAACCACAGGGACAGGTTCAGGTGCAGCAACCGCAGCTGGTGACCACAGCCACAGGCACACAATTGGTGCGTTCCTCATTCCGAGGGAAAACAACCCGTGGGGGCGCCATCATAGCCAGGCAACCCACTGGCACTGTGATAGCAGCGCGCCCTGCCCTAACGCCTACTATTGTCCGGCATATGCGTCCGCGTGGCGGTCTGCAGACTGTGACCGGTGGCATTGTGCGCAGTGTGCGACCACAAGGCATGCGACCCACTCGCACCCAGCTGGTAGTGCAGACCACTGCTGCTGGCGATGGTCAGACCATGCAGCTAGTGACTCAGCCGCAGATGGCCAAGCAAATAACTATAACTAACTTAGGACAGCCAACGGTAACTGCGCCGGGTCAGCAGATGCAGCCACGACACGTTTATCGGCACGTGGTAAGCGAATCGGGTCCTAACCCGCAGCAACAGCAACAGCAGCACCAGCAGATGGTCTTAATGCGCCAACAGCCATTGCGCTATCGACCTACTCAAACGGCAGCGGCGCCTACACCGAATTCAAACACAATGGGGTTGGACCTGGAGGAGAGCATACAGGCCGTGATGGTAAAGAAGGATCCGCAGCAACAACAACAACAACAGAAGCCAGCGACAGGATCTATGCAAATGCAGCTGCCTCCAGCTGGCAACACCACATTAACCACCTACTATCAACAGAGCTCAGCCACCAATAGCAGCAGCGAAGAAGAACAGCAACAGCAGCAGCAACAACAACAACAACAGCAGCAGCAACCACATCAACTGCAGCCGCAACAGGCGCAGCAACCTGGTGTACGGACTGCTAGCGGCGCCACCATGAGTCTGTCGGAATACAAAAAACGTCAGACCATGGCAAGCTCACCGGCTCCTACAGCACCGACCGCCGCTGGGTCGACGGCCATGCGACCGGCAACTGCGCCTGGTACTCTGGTTCGGTCGGTACCTAAGTTGGTGCCACAGCCTCAAACCACACAGCAGCAGCCCAATTCAACTGCAACTCGCATCTTGCAGCCTCAACGAGTGCTTGCCACAGCGCCAGCCCCGCCCCATGCGTCCTCTGTGCAGCAGACATCGCACAACAACTACGAGATTCATTCGCAGCACGTGCTGAATAACCGGGCCGGACAACCCATCGCTGATCGCGATCGCAATAGTGCCAAAATGTTGGTTATTCTAGCCTCTGGGGAGCAGCGATTGATAACGTTCACGCTGCCACGGGAGTCATGCACCGTGCAGGATCTGCTAGAGCAGGTTTGCGTGCCCTTCGACAATAGCACCACCATTCAATGTGTGGAACATCACGGCGCCAATGTGGACTTTGTAGTTACGGTTGGGTTTTCCGTAAACGAATCTGCCAGCGAGCTGATTTCACGCGCCGAGGAGAGTCTACAAATGAATCGTCAGCAGGAGAACGCCGCTGCAGCAGCAGCGGCAGCCACAACTGCAACAGCAACAACAACCACCCCTGCCTTTAATCCACAATCGACAGCAGCGAATTCTGGAGTTACGGATCAAGCCAAGCGTGATTCAGCAAGCACCAACACAGGCTCCGCATCCCCGGCTGTGATTGCACCATCGGAAGGACCCAAGTTGATTGACGGTTACTATGCTGTCTGTCAGCTGTGCGGCTTCACGGGCATGGATCATGCCAAGTGCGAACGATGCAAACGTGTTTTCCAGGAGCCACCCAAACGGAAATCCTATGTAACTAAGTCTTCGAATGCAGCAGCAGCAGCCATAGGTGGAGCAGGATCGTTAGCCGGCGACCCAGCAACGGCTGCTGACAAGAAACGTGAGTTAGCACGTCTCAATAAAACGGTAGTCGGCGTTGGCGGCTCTTACGCTGCAGGTTCAACCACCGTGCGAGGAAGGGGCATGGCCATCAGAGGCGGACGGACGCGCAGCGGTCGACGAGTTGCCGAGGCGGATCCCGTTGTCTTGCTCAGCAGTGAGGACGAAGCTGAACAGGATGAGTCCAATGGCAATGCTGGCAATGTAAGTAGAGACTATCATTTGTATTATGATACAAATTAATCGTCATATTTCGTGCAGTTTCCCGCCAACAATGCAAAACGTAATTCAAATGGAAGTGTTAATCAGCTGCCTGCCGCTTTTGCCTGTGATCCAATACTAACCGACGTAGACGAGGAAGCACTGTACAAAGGTAAGTTTAAAGCAAGAGCTATATATATTTGGTTTTAATTGGAAAGACTATTTAATAAGTTTAAGTGATCAATTAATACTGTAATGACAGTCATAGGAGGAAAATTAGTTTTGCATCCCTGGCTCTTTTTAAATTGCTATATACATGCTGGGCCGTAATTTGATGTTGGCAATACTGTTGAACTTACATTTTGAGACGCTAGAGGCCGCTTGAACACCACGCCATTTTTCTTGCCAGAGAGTGCGAAAGAAGAAGCATAGTACAAAGCGAACGCGTATTGGACAAGTTAACTAGTTGTGTATTGCATTGCAAACTGCAATTTCTTGAGCTCTTTAAAGTAGTTTCCTTTTTTTAACTTGTTATGAGCTTAAATTAATCATATTATATTAAATCAAATAGTTTAACAATGGGAGATAATGGTAAGCAACACCTAGGCAGCAATAAACTAGCAGTGAGAAAAAAATGTGACTGCGACTACAGCGGCTTGCAAAATGCAGCCACATGTATAAAAAAAAGTGAAACTATGTATATACTTATGTTTTAACACTAATCACTATAATATTCCATTGCAGACTTTGTGCGAGGAGATGTTAGTGATCTTTCCGATATTCCCGATGGCGAATCATTCACCACCGAATTGACCTGCAAATGTTTGCGTCTAATGCCGTATCGTTTTATGATAACGGAACCGGTAAGTACATATTCCTAATATTCATATATTCGTATTGATAAACATTAATAAACCTTTTTTTTTTTGTGTAGATCAAATTCACCTCTAAGGGCGTTCGGATTACTGGCGTACTGCCCGATAAGGATGAAAAATTTGTTTTGAACATCTACAAGCATGAGGTTATAAAGGTTATTGCACACTTTGCCAGCTATGAGCAAGCGCAGCCGCTGGTCACGCTCTATATGCTGAAAACATGCGCTCAGTATGTGAAGTCGCAGCTGCAGCTACCTGAAGATACGCCCAATGAACGTAAGTAGAACACAATAAGATTTCGATTACACTTATAACTGTTTTATCTGTCAAACATTCATCTATAGAATTCGGCGTCAAATGGAATGGCAGCTTTCATGAACGCCGCTTGATATTGCTGTTCGATACAATCAGCTTTTCGGCTCGCGAAACTCTCAAATCTATGTTTAGTTTTCTGGATGAAATTTCAGCGCGTGATGCTGCGGAAATATTGGAACGTATCGCCGACTCGGATCGCAAGGCACTGGACAAGCCTACACAGCTGGCCCCGCGTCAGCTGCGTCCCGATGAGCAAGTTAGTCTGCTAATGTATCCGCCCAAGGGCACTGGTGGACTCTGTATACGTATGGAGGATTTCGTTTGCCTGACAAAGGAGTCGTATTTGAATGACATTATCATTGATTTTTATCTGCTCTGGCTACGCAACACCATTATACCGGAGGCTCAACGCGAGCGTACTCACATTTTTAGTACATTTTTTTATAAGCGTCTTACAACTCTAACACGTCCGACGGACGTTAAGCAAACAGCTGCACAAAAACGTCATGCTCGAGTACAGAAGTGGACAAAGATTGTGGATATATTTGATAAAGATTTCATCATAGTGCCCATTAACGAGCAATCGCATTGGTTTCTCGCTATCATTTGCTTCCCCTGCTTAAAGGGTCCCGTCACCTTCGACACGAATCAGCCTGTGGAGCCGCAGCATTTGAAGCGTGCTCGTGGCAAGAAGGTTGCTTTGCAGATTGGTAACACAACAATCACGCCGCTGTCCAAGCGAGAAACTGTCACTCTGCCGACCATGCCCAGCGAAATATGTCGGATTGCCGACGACGAGAGTGAACGCGATGAGGCTGAAGGCGATGACAGCGACATGGCATCGGAGGTTAGTGAAAACTCAAATCCACCCATCAGCAAGGAGGCGACGGCTGCGGCTCCAGCTACGCCTGCACCCGCGACAACTTCTGGACCCGCACGTGCCACAAACGAAGACGTGCCGGCTGTGAAGCAGCCCTTAATTTTAATATTTGACTCTCTGGCGGGTGCGTCACGTAGTCGAGTGGTAGCTACGCTGCGTGATTATTTGACATGCGAATACAAGGTGAAGAAGCCGGATGCGCAGGCGCACATCTTCAACAAGGATAACATGCCGGGACATTGCGTCAAAGTACCACAACAGAACAATTTTACGGACTGCGGCCTGTATCTGCTGCAGTATGTGGAGCACTTCTTCAAGGATCCAATTAAGGATTACAGATTGCCAATCAAGCAGCTGACGAATTGGTTCGACTATCTAACTGTCACCAAGAAGCGTGAAGACATCGCCCAGCTAATACAGCAGCTAATGGATGAGAGCAATACACATCAGCCGCGTCTCATTTTGCCAGTAATCGAGTTTCCAACACTCAATGGTCAGCTGGTTGAGTATCCCGAAGAGACTGAGAGCGCCGAGTTTGAAGAGGAGGAAGGCCATGACGAGGAGGAGCACAACAGTGATGTAAGCAATTGACTCACCATTCAATCATCATGAAGATATACTCATTTTACTCTCTATCTTCTTACAGCACGAGGATAGCACGGCCACTGAAATGGAGGTGGATCCCACGGCTGAGGAACTGCAGCAGGCTCAGGCGTCCAAGTCGACCACACAAGCAGTCTCAACGTCGACGACAACTACAAGCCCCACTGTGATGGCGGGATCTACGACGCGCCGATTTGTGCTCAAGCGTCGCCTGCAAAATGGTGCCTCCGCCTCTCCAAGTAATAGCAACGGGGGAGAAGCCAACAGCAGCAATAACCAGTTGGTTCCACAGCTGATTAGCACTGCCTCCCCGCTCAGCAGCAATAGCAGTACACCCAGTGGTGGCGCTCTTTTAACTAAAGGTGTTGCCAGTGTCGGTACCGGCAGCCTTAAAATTCGCAAGATCGAACAGTAGCATACGGGCACCGGCTCAGAGCCAGTCGCAGAGATGCCGCCGCTGCAGCTGCTGCAAATGTTGCGCCCACTGTAAATAATAAAAGCAAAAATTATTATACAAACAATACAACAAAAATATGCCCAACATTTCTTAAATTAATATTAATTATAAAAAAAAAAAACAAAACGTCAAATATATTGAATAGTGAAGTTAAATGGGAAAACTCCATTTGTTTCTGTATCGACTACATGGCTGCTTTTACTACGTTGATGTGTGGGTGGGGGAATTTTCGTTTTCTAATGCCCCTGTGCCGCCCTTACCCAAGAACCAGTTTGCGTTCGCCATGTAAGCTAGAATATCTACCATGTATACGCTGTCAACGGTTTGCACACATATACATGGTAAGACTCCCATAGACTTTCTCCAACTAAACTCAATAAATGGCTAAATGCAGCTTAACTCTATATTTGCGCCTCCCCTCTTTGCTGTTTAAATGGCCACACTCTTAATATTAGTTGGAAGTAAGCGAAGTTTTAAGTGCGTGCACCCTCGGGCAGCTGTCATGTAGCTGATTAAGAATATACATGGCGAGCTACATGCGACGCACACATACACACGCACACGCATGCATACGTCATGTATTGTTCGGCCTCAAAAGTTGGGTTATGTTGACAGCAGAAACAAACAACAGCAGGGGCTCGGGAGCGGAAGAACGAATGACGCGCACAAAAGAGAATAAAAAGGCGCGCTCACCCTCATCGTTTGAAATGGTAAAAAAATGCAAAGAAATGCTGAAATTAAATAAGCTGACTGCAATTGAAAAATATCATGTGAAGGCAATTATTTTAACTACTAATACTATTACTAATTGTTTTTAATTAAAAGCAGAAAAATGTAGTTAAGTATTAGTTTTAGTATGATATATATATAAATACATTACTGCCTAAGAAGAGTGAATGCGATAATTCATTTTATCCCATTTATTAAATCTACATTGTTTAATATGCTATCCTTCACTAACGAGTGTAGCTGAAAGCATTTACATTTTTTGTTTTGTGAGAAGTTTTTCTTTGTTTTGTTAGTGCCTTAAAGACTTATCGATAGGAAATCAGCTGTTGCATCAAAAACAACACAACTGTTGATTGTCCACTTAATAAGACTTGGTCACACTGAGCACCGGCTTGCGTTCAGAGGGAATTTGGTTGCTTCGGGTATTTTATTTTGCATATAGGAAATGCAACTAATATAAATATCCCAAGGGAAATTATACAACCCATCAATACAAATTGCCCGTTGTTTTTAAACCGCATTTAGTGGCGAAAGAAATATTTAGTAATAAAGGCAAAACTCGGATTTTTTCAATTATTATTTTTTATTTTCCATATTTGCTGGGCTCACTTCACACACGTCCAATAATATGCATTTTATACGAGATAATCACAGCCATGAGGGAAATTCAGTCTTTGTTTTAGCTTCACTAGTTTCCAGTGCCAAGTGCCTGGCAGCAACCTGTAAAGAGAGAATTAAAAAAAAAAAAACGTTCCTAGTCCAGTCCATTTGTCGATTTCATGTGTCGTTCAGTCTTTTTGGCCTTTTGCTTCACTAAGAAGCTAAAGTCGAGGCAGTCATAGAAAAATTGCAGTTGTGAAGATATGAAGTTGAAAAGTCAATTGGACCAGATAAGTATCGTCTTATAGAACCAAATGGCTCATCAAATATGACAGACCAAAGGAAGGTTTCAATCTTCCAATAATTGATAACTTTGGAAGCTTTTGCAATTTGCGAGAAATGTTTCTGGTCTCTTTGCATGATTTATGCTCTTTTGTCTTGAGGGTTAGCTTGCGGTCCGGTTGTTAGATTCGATTTTAGATTTGTATCGTTAGTTAATAACGATTTATATATACATATATATATATATAAATATATATTGATATATAGTATGAGTGCTGCTTGCTTTTTAGGGGGTGCTGCGGAGTGTGGGGGCGTTTCATTGACTCCGCATAGAACGTTCAATATTCAACACTTTGGTTGCTTTTTGCTGACTAATTAAGAGTCCAACTCTCGTGTGTGGGGGTAAGCACAGGGGTTAAAAGCGCACAGACGCAAACACACACACACATTATACACACATCACTGCTTTGATTTTTCATTAACATTGGTTAACGGTACGTTCTTGTTGTGCTGTTTGGTTGGTTTGTTTGTTGTTGTAGCGTCTTTTAAATAAAGTTCACATTTTGTGCTTCATATATTTTTCTCTCTTTTCTGTATTTTTTTCGTTTTAAAATATTAATTAGATTTTTTTGTGGTAATTTGCTTATTTTGTAAGTTTGTTTAAATCATAGAACTTTCGCATGACAAATAGCTAAGCAAAAAAGGAGAGTGAGAGAGAGTGTGAGAAACAGAGAGTAAGAGAAAGAGAGAGAGAGAGTTGGTTGGAGTGTTGTGTATAAGCGACGAGCTGTGGAGCTCTTCGTACGATTGGATTTGTGGATTTGTTTAACGATTAGTTTGGCGCTGGGGCTCTGTGTGTATGTGGGTCCAACTATTATTCCCGCTCATTTGCTCACTTAGCTTACTTGTTTCATTATCATTATCATTTTTCATTGCATTTGAAGACATCAACTTCTTCATCTCATTCTTCTGCGACTACATTCACACGCGACACTTTTCTGTGCATCATTGAAGGAGGATTAGGAGAGCATTTTCATTCGCGCACTTTTCTCTTTTTTTCTTTTTTTTTTATACCCGTAAACAATACTCAACGACACATTTAACGCCTGCCGTCCCGATAGCTGCGTTGCCCACCACCGCCACCGCCGCCTCGTTCGCCACGAAATTGTCGCGAGGAGCCACTTCGGTTACCGCCATAATCGCGTCGTCGACCGCCCACGGAGCTGTTGTTATTGTCCCGATTGCCTGCACTGATACTTGGCACATTTGCCCCACCCACACCACCACCGGCATTGCTGCTGCCACCGCCATTGGCAGCATAGACTGGAAAGCCTGGTGGTGCGGACACTGTAGGCAGACCCGCATTCTTCCAGGCAGCAAAGTCCTCGTAGCTGGGCGCTTTATCAAAACCTGGTGGCGGTGGTCGCATCGGCTGTGGCGGCGGGTAATCTGGCAATGGAGGCGCTCCAGGTCCATCGTAATACCGCACCGGTGGCGGCAGTTGCTCGTACATTGATGCTGGCGCTCCTGGGGGCAATGCATTGCCAGCTCCTGCAGCCGAGGGCATTGGCAGCTGGCCAAAGGGTGGCACAAACGGCAGCGGTGGCAGCTGTCCGTGCATGTTGCGTATGTAGTCTGCTACATAAGCCTCGGCAGCTGCGGCCGACGACATGTAGCGCTCCCACGAGGGCATGCCCATCTCGCCGGCACCAGCTGCACCGCCGCCCATTTGACGATAGGGTGAACCACCACGCTTGAAGCCGCCACCGCCGCTGCCCGGCATGCCCATGCCCATGGCATGATGATGATGATGATGCCGATAGGGTCGCTGATGGTGATGTGGTTGGCCATGTCCGCCATAGCTACGCTTGTGTCGCATGGGCCCCAGCTGGCTGTTGCCACGGCCGCCGCTATGGCCGCGCGTGGAGAGACTGCGCGGCGCCTTGTAGATTACATGGATGCCTTTCTCACGCATCACACGCGCCGTCTCCTTGGATTTGCGCAAAATGGGTGTCAGCTCGATTTGTTCGTCTTCTGGGAAGAGGCGACACAACTCAGCGCCAATTTTGGGCTCAATCTCTTGGCCATCACGTCCAATCTTTACGGGCTTTCCTTCGTTCCATGTGTTGTGCAAATGCAAGGTGGCATTGAAAGAGAGCTCCTTGCGGCATATCCAATCCAACTCAATAACGCCGCCCAGAGCTTTGGGCGAAATGCTAGGAGGCAACACCCAGGCCACCTGCGGAATATCTCGACGTGAAGGCGCGGCCATGCGTGCAAATCCTGCGAATTTACCTACCAGATGAAGGAGAATAAGGGGTATTATCTATTATCTATCTAAGATACTCCAATTAGCCAGCTTACCGCTCTCATTAACGGAGAATATGAGCAACACATTGCGCGCCTCCTTGAAAGCCTGGCTCAGATTGGCATCGTTCTGTGGAAGCGTCGCCCACACGCTCTTGTTCTTGGACAACTGCACATTGTCACTGTTGTTCGATTTGATCAGAAAGAAGCGGGTATCGCGAAACAGATAATTCAGCTTGGTCATGTAGTCATAGGACTTCTGTGTGTTGCTGCTGCCACCGGCATCCTTCTCTGGGGTGGAGCCTTTTGAACTGTTTGCCATGGCCGCTTTGCTGCGTGCGCCACCATTGCGTTTGTGCTGTATGCCCGAGTCTGAATCCGAGGATTCGCTGTCCGATTCGAGTGCAGGCAGCGGTGGCTTTTCATCCTCAGCGTCACTTAGGTCGCTCTTGTTGCCGGCACCTGATCCACTTAGATGAGCTGCTGTGGAACTGCTGCCACTTACATTTTTCTTGCTTCGAGTCTTTTTTAAGCTCGACTCACGTTCCTCGCTGTCTTGAGCCTTCGAGTTGACCTTGTCATCTGTATCAATGGGTTTCTTCGACTTGGACTCACTGCCGCTGCTGCTTGACTTTTTCTTTTTACCATTGAGATCGCCGGGCGAGGCAGATCGCTTCGTTTTCCTAGATGATTTGCTGGACTTGCTTGTGGAAGCAGCAGATGCCGTTGCAGATATGGATTTGGCTGCAGTTTCTTTGCTTGTTTTATTGTTGGACTTGGATTTGGACGTACGTTTGCTACTCCTGCTGCCATCTACGGAGGACGGAGCCGTGCTTACAGAGCTAATACTTGGCTCCGAGTCGGAGGCCATGGAGCCAGCTCGTGACTTGGATGCTTCGCTGCGCGTGTCAAACGAATCGAAATCCTGCAATTCCTCGGCAATGTCCGCCTCATTCTCATCCAGGCCGAGATGAACTGCATCAAGATCGGCCATGTCGCGCATTAGCAGCTGCTGCGCTTACCCTAGCACACGCAATGAACGGTACTCTGTTTGTTTACCTTCCCACTACTGATCTGTTGCTGTTGTTGTTGTTGCTGCCTTTTTGTAGTACTATGGACTGCTTGGCGGCGGTGGCGGCTTCTCTATTCCTCTTCTAAGTGTTCGTTCATTCAAGCGCGCATGAATGAGACAGCAATCGAAGCAGCGGAAATAGACATAGAGAAAAAAATGCCAATCGATTTAGCAAAGCCAAAGCTGCAAAACAAAAGTTGCGAATATACGAAGTGCTCAACACTCACTTTCTGCACGTTGCGTGCAACTAAATGCGCAAGATTTGCGCCAACTATATTGCACTTTTTGTATAATTTTCACTGCTTTAATTAACAAATTATAATGAGCAAATGTTTTATACCGATTTTGCGTCAACAGAGACAAGAGACCAATGGCGGCAGAGGAGTGCAGCTATAGGTACACAAGAACAATACATGGTTGCTTTGTGACGCCTATCGAATTTGTGTCTATCCACCGGCATTTATCGACTAGCTTGCAGCGTTTATTTATGCTAAGAACTTTAAACAGCGCATCTAAGATACGAAAAGTGAGAATATAAAAAAAATCTATTTTTCAGTAAATTAAAAATATTAAAATTTTTAGCTTTGTATATCTTGTGTTGTGTATTAATGTAAAACAAAAAATAAATAAAAATCTAATTTTCATATCAGTTTTCTCTAATGAGCCCGTTGCAAATGAATATTAAAATATTATTAAAATATAATGTGAATTTTAAGTGCCTTCTGAGTATAGTATTACAAATTTAAAAACAAATTTCAAAGCCTATTGCTACTGTTGCTCAGCAAATAGCCGTTACACGTAGATATAGATGTGCGTGTTGCATTCTACTCTAGTCCATTCGATAACAGAGCAACAGCTGATTCATCGATAAGCCGAATGAGTGCAATACAAACAAAGGCTACAAGCTGACACAATAAAAACACCACAATAACAATAACTAATTAACGCTAAATATCAAGTGCTGAAAACGAAGTGAATCATCGATCAAAGCTGTTTTCGTCATAATGTCTGCTAACACATCAAAAGAAGCTGAACCGCCCAGCTACGAGGAAGTCATGCGAGCCAGTGCACCCCCCATGCAAGGTAAGTTATCAAATTTAAGTAAAGCAAAAGTTATAGATGTAATAAATGGTATTGTCATTTACAGATCCTCGGCTTATAACCGGTGTACACCATGGCGCCCCGGTACCGCCGGCAAACATGGCCAACTATGGTGCATTCGAGACGACGCCAGTTAGCATTGTGGTGCAGCCAGCGCTGCCGGCCGAGATCATAGTCATTGGAGCTTGTCCCTCGTGCCGTATTGGCTATTTGGAAGACACGTTCTCGCCGCTGGGTCTCTGCTGTGCCATATTCTTCTTTCCCATTGGCATACTCTGCTGTCTGGCGATGCGCGAGAAGCGGTGCAGCAATTGTGGAGCAACATTTTAAATGCCCAATCAACTCGCTCTCTCCCTCTCGATCGCTCATGCGAGAGAGAGAGAGAGAGAGAGAGAGAGAGAGGTTTTTAGCTATATATTCACCCCGACAAATTGGACTGTTAAGTTTTTAAAAAATCACAAAGAAAAGTAACAAATTATGCTAACTTGTTAGCTTGTTAATTATGAAACTATATATATATGTATGTGTGTATGTATGTCTGTGTAAATACAAATATTTTAAGGCTTTTATGACGCGACTGCAAACTCGCCTTTCCATTCCATTCCACAACATTCCAATCGTCGTCGTGGCTGTCGTGTGGACGTGGCCCGCTTCCGTTAAATTTAATTGAAATATAATGGGGGCGGTTTTGAATTACGCCGCTCGTTTGCTCTTGGGCTGCCTTCTTTCTTTTTTTTATTGTTTGCGCATATTTTTTGCTCTTTGTGAAACGTAAACAAGCGAAACTGTAAGCCAAAGCAATGCACGACTTACGCATGCTCTGTACATAAATAAATTGTTAATCAAACTTCACTCAATTATTTATTTTATGTTAATGTGTTAATAAGAGAACTGCTGGCTGTAATTGCTGTCTACTTAATACGTTTATATATACTTATTAGATATATATATACATACCTCCGGCTAATATGCCCGTCTGGTTAATCAAGTTTGTGCAGTACAAAGTCGCCGGCATTCACATCCGCCGTTTGCTGATCTTTCAGACTGCAGTCGCAAAAGTCTCTCGCGTTGATATGTCCCATATCTCAGCTCCGTTGCTGCTGCTGCTGCTGCTTCTACGGACTGCGCTCTGCAGTGGCGCAGCTTCAACCACGGCCCGCCACAATGTGGTCATGATCATCTTTGACGATCTACGCCCAGCCTTGGGTGTCTATGGCGATAGTCTGGCTCGAACGCCGCATCTGGATGCCTTTGCCCAGGGCAGCAACGTCTTTAGTCACGCCTACAGTCAGGTAAGCCCTCAACACCGCCCAACTGGAACAGCTTCACATGTCGTCTGGCCCTTTAGCAAGCGCTGTGCGCGCCTAGCCGAAATTCCCTGCTGACTGGCCGACGTCCAGATACCCTGCACTTGTATGACTTCTACAGCTACTGGCGCAGCTTTGTGGGCAACTTTACGACCTTGCCGCAGTACTTCAAGCAGCATGGCTACTACACCTATAGCTGTGGCAAGGTCTTCCATCCGGGTCTGTCTTCCAACAACACTGATGATTATCCCTTGAGCTGGTCTGCGCCAGCGTTTCATCCGCGCACCGAGCAGTTCATGAACTCGCCCGTCTGCCCCGAGCATGGCGGCGGTGTGCTGCGCAAGAACTATCTCATTTGTCCGGTGGAGCTGCAGACGCAGCCGTACAAAACGCTGCCGGACATTGAATCCGTAACGGAGGCGCTGCGTTTCATCGAGGCCCGCAAGCGCAGTCGCCAGCCCTACTTTCTGGCTCTGGGCATCCACAAGCCGCACATCAACTTTCGTTTTCCCATGCAGTTTCTGGAGCGATTTCCCCTCACGCATTTCTACAACTACACGGAGGATGCGTTGAAGCCGCCGGACATGCCAGATGTGGCCTGGAATCCCTACACGGATATTCGCTCTCGAGATGACTTTAAGCATAGGAACATATCGTTTCCCTACGGACCCATTTCCAGGCAGCAGGCGGCGCAGATCCGCCAGGCCTACTACGCCTCGGTGGCCTATGTGGACGATCTGTTTGGCAAGCTGCTGGCGCGCCTCGACCTGGAGCGCACAGTCGTTGTTGTGCTCGGCGATCACGGCTGGTCGCTGGGCGAGCACGCCGAGTGGGCCAAGTACAGCAACTTCGAGGTAGCCTTGCGTGTGCCCCTCATCATACGCAGTCCAGAGTTCCCCCTGAGACAGGCTCGACAGCTGCACAGCATCACAGAGCTGCTGGATGTGTTTCCTACGCTGGTCGACTTGGCGCATCTGCCTCCACTTGCCGTCTGCAACGGCAGCGGCCTGGAGCAGCTGAGCTGCTCCCAAGGCAAGAGCTTGTATCCGTTGCTTCAAGGCTTGGACCTGGGTGAGTTGAAGTTCGCTTTGCTATGCCTTTGCAGCTCTCTTAAACTCTTGTAGGCGAGGACTACGTGGCCATCAGCCAATATCCGCGTCCCGGCATGCTGCCCACCAAACATCCCAACAGCGACAAGCCCAAGCTGCGAAATATCAAGATCATGGGCTATAGCCTGCGCACGAATCACTTTCGCTATACGCTCTGGGTGCGCTTTCATGCGCATAACTTCAGTCGAGGTAAGCTTACAGAGCATCTTAAGCAAGCAGCTTAAATTAAAAAAAATAAAAAAAAAATATTTAATTTGAAATAGATTTTGAATAAGTCGTAAGCTGCTCTATAAATTCCACTAATTAAAGATTTTCAAATATTCTTACAAACAAAATTAATTCAACAAAGATTTCAAATAATTTAAAAAAAAAATATATGAATTTTCAATAGTATTCGAAAAATGTTTCTCAGAGAAATTACGATCTTTCCACAATTGTCGAAAAAGTCAATTTAAAAAATCTTAACTTTAATAAACAATAATTTCAATAAGCCGTTCAGGCTTAAAGTATGCTGTTGATAGTAATGTGAGATGGAAGATAGAAGATGGAAAATGAGTTTGCAATAATCATTTCGTATCTTAATAAATTTTTTGATATTTCCACCTGTTATTTTCGAGTTCATTCATCTCTTTTCATTTCCATATTTCCTTCATAGATTGGCACAATATCTACGGCGAGGAGCTGTACGATCATCGCCTGGACTCCGGCGAGGAGTTCAACTTGGCGGCGCTGCCGGAATTCAATTCAATACGCCAACATTTGCGTTGGCGTCTGATCGAAGCCGTGGGCTAGCTGAGTAGCTGACTATGATTAACTGAAAGAACTCTTCCGAACTGAGCAAGAAACATTGCATTAAATAAATTCCATGAAGTATACAATATTATTATTAACTATTCGGTTTCGAGTGGGTTCCAAATGGTCGACTTGCAATTGGTCAACTTTTGACAAAGTTCAATTAAATTGTATTAAAAGCGGATTTACTGCTTTGGAAAGTTTCCCATTTGGTGGCATGTGTGCGCATACTGCTGGGCGTCAGTGTGGCCGCAGTTGGTGCCGCGCATGCGTGACTTGTGTCCGTTGCCTTTGCCGTCGCTTCGTTTTTAGTGAATTTTTGTGAATGAAATTTCATTGAACGTTGGCGGCGACGTCGTTGACGTTGCCGTTGACGTCGCCGTTGGCGTTAGCGTTGGCGTCGACGCCCATGCTCCAGTTGAAGCCGTTGCCAAAGCGCCCGCCGTGTTCAGCTGTTGCCAAGCGGGTGAAAATATGCTGGCTGAGTAATTAAATCTGCAGTCGACGCATCGCTTGATCAATCAGCTCTGCCCCGCCCACCGTTCTCTACCCGTCATTGCAGCTTGCAGCCAACTTAACGCTGCTTCTCTCTCTCGCTCTCCCTCTCTCGGTCTCTCTGTGTCCAATTGCGCATAGGCATAGCTATGCACAGTTATATCTGCTTATGTGTGTGTTTGTCTACTCTTTTGGCGTGGGCTCTCCGCTTGGGAGTTGTTTGTGTTGGTGGCTCCGCTTGTCATCTGGCCATATGGACCGTTTTCTTGAGGTGATTAAACTGAATTTTGTTTTTTTTTCTTTTTGGCATCGCTTTTACTTGCATTGGGCGTTGTGAACCACATTTTCACATTTTCCGCTCGCACAATGCAGCTGCTGCCTAGCCTTAACTATTGTCTGTGTGTGAGGGGGCGTGGCAGATGCCATAAATTGCAGTTATGTATATGCATAATCTGGCTACCCTGTCGGTCCGGGCAAAAGCGTTAATATGGGGTATTATACATACAGTCTTGCATATATGTATGTATGCTACAGGGTATTAGCTAGTTCATACCACGCTATACTCATTTCCAATGCAGTGTATTAGCCAGTACATAACATGCCATACCCCTTTTTAATAAGGATTATTAGTTAGTCCTTAACATGATAAGCTCCTTTCGAATACAGGGTATGATATAGTCTATAACACACCAGACAGCGTACTATTCTAGCTTATAGAACATCAAACTCTATGCTAATGCAGGATATTAGCACTCCTCTGACTGCTTTCCAACACAGGGTATTAGCCAGTCGCTCACATCCCAAGCTCCTTTCTATTTTACAGCTCGAAGCATATCCGGCGCGGCTTAACGCTAATCTACGAACTGTTGAAGGAGTTCTTGGCGCAGGCGAATATCCAAATCGGGCTAAGCTGTTCGCCTAGTTTCAAAGATTTATGATCGATGCCATAATGAGGCGTGTGGTGTCAAAATCTATGGGAACTATCCAAATATGTTCCATGGCATTTAAGAGCAGCAGAGAATGAAGAGGAAGGTTACATAGGCTGAAGTGCTAGAAGTTGTATTAGCTGAGGGCTTGGCAGAGACAGTTAGAAATGTGTTCGGTTGTGAATCTAATACATAGAGTTATGACAGTTATAACAGTTATAACATTTCCAGTTATAACACTTTGAGCACATCTATAGATCAAGTTCTTTAAGCGATGTCTAGGCAAAAAGTTTTAAGCAAATCATGTGAATACAACTATATGAGATGGATGTTGTTGTTGTTGTTGTTGCTGCTGCTGATTTCTAAGCTAATTCAAATGCGTGGGCGTTACAAACGAAAATTGCAAAATATGCGTAGGCTGTAGTGGGTATACATGTGTGTGTGTGTGTGCGTGCGTGTGTTTAGCTTAGCAACAACAACAACAACAACAACAACGTCGCGTTCTTACCTACGCACAGTTTTCAAGCAACTGAACACGAAACGTGCTGCTCGCAGTTCGATTGGCTTCAGCTTGGTTTGGTTTGGTTTGAAATTGTTTTTTTTTTTTTAATGTTGGCTCAAAGCTTCAGACAACGTGTCGTCCCTCTCTCAACAAAGGGCAGAAAAAAAATGCTAATTTTCGTTGACATGCCATAGTTTGGCTAAGGCTAATGACGAAGGTTGTTTGTTAGCTTTGTCAGTTGATTTAATTTTTTCTTGGCTCTGCTTCTTCTCTCTTCTCTCGTCGTCTTTTTTCTTTTTTTTCGGCTGGTTAGTAAACTATCTGCTGGCCAAATAACTGGTTGGCTCTGAAATTTCTTTTGACGGAATCTCCATGAATTAATGCTGTAGCGATCGGCATCATGATCATCGCGATCATTATGATTTCCTCCTTAGGCGCTCATATACATATGTATGCGATAGTTATGCCTTTAACAGATGTCAAGCTGTGTCAAGCTGGAATGTGTTTTTTCGGCTGATTACTTATGCTGATCAGAGAAAGAGAGAGACAGAGAAAGAGAGAGACAGAGAAAGAGAGAGAGAGGGAGACAGCAGATAATATGGTGCTATCGAGCAGACATTGCTTGTGGCATAGTTTCAAGATCTGCATCGATGCAAACGATCTACACAGCTCGCTCGATCATGTGCTGCTCCTCAATGTCAAGGCCTGATCGCTTCATCAGCACGCAGACTCCTCGCTACCCACACCCGCTGCCAGCTAGCCAGAGCCTGGCCTCAACAAAGGCATGAGCGAGAGAGGGAGAGGGCGAGAGACGACAATGCCAAAAAAGAAATTGGTCAAGCAAAAAATATTTTGAATGAAATTCCAGCGACTCAGACAAAACAGCAACAGCAACAACAACAACTACAATAAAAGAAGCAAGCAGAACAAGTTGAGCGGAAATAGAAATGACTGACTAGCTGATGCCCTGTAGTGGCACGAGATGATATAGTGATCAGATAGTAGTTAATTAGTTGGAAAACTATGAATAGTAAATAATAGTTTGATAGAAACAGAGAAGATTTAAGATAGATAGAAAAGCCATATATGAAAGAGTATATAGTTGGGTAGATGTATATGGAAGATATTAGATAGAATATATTTAGAAGTTGATGGTTGAAGAAGATAACAGAAGATATCGATGGGAGAAATAAACATACAGAAGATAGAAGAAGATAGAAGATAGATAGATAGCTTGGGCATATCGATATTGGCGACAGATATTGAGGTTAGATAGGTGCTCAATACAATAGACTGGAGTCCTGCCAAAAAAAAGCTGAGCAAAGCTCGCAAAGTGTCAGCGACATCTTTAGAGCTTTCGCGTAGCTTCATTCAATTCAAGCTATTTATCAATTGATAAAGATAAAGTGTCTGCATCTATATGGCCCTAGTCAATCCGTACAGGGCATATACACAAAGCATTCATTCATTGGACACAATTGTAGTGAAGAAGAGGATACCTAAGCCGGCTGTCTTGTGGCAACAAAATAATTTATTGAAATTCAAATTTATTATCTGGTGTTCGGGCTTGGCCCCGGCCAGGCTTGGTTTGATTTTTTCCCGTTTTTATATTTTCGTATTTTTCTCTTCCTCTTGCTCGGCCTCTTCTGCTGGCTTTGGAAACCCAATTCAGCTGGAATGCTGCAACACATATGGCCCAGAGCGTTAAACATAACTAAACGAAACAATCAAGAATGAGTGTAGAAATTCCAGAATGAGCCCACGCAGCGAACAGAGAGCGACAGCGGGGTGGCTGGAAGAGAGAGTGCGAGGGAGAGCGAGACAGATAGATAGAGAGAGAGGCCAGCGGGTAGGCAGCGGGACAGAGGCCATGCGATCAACGTTTAGCCGAACGGATTACGAGTAAAACAAGAAAAAACAATTTTTTTCGCTCTTAGCGCTGGCCTTTTTACATGTGGCATAAACAAATACGAGGGCGCAGGCGGCAGAGGGTGGGGGAGCTGCTCTCGGAGTGAAGACTGACCGCAAGGCAAACAATTTGAAAAGCAACACAGGCAGCCGCTGTAACGCGTGCTAAACAAGTTTCTCGATCGTCTTTTTGTCTTTAGCCCTGGCCCTGGAACATGGGACATGGAACCTGGAGCTGCTGAAGCTGGAGTTGGAATTGGTGCTGGTGCTGAACTTCAATATGTTGTCCTCTTTTCGTTGCTGTGTCCATATAAAAGACATTGAGAAATCGTTTAGCTTTACAGTGGGCTTTTGCTGCTGCTCCTTTCAGCCAACTTTTTATGATTATAAATATTTATGCCTGCTGCTTGAATGCGCTGCCCGGCTCAATTCAAATCGAAGACGACGACGACAATGAAATAAAAATCTCATTTTTACAGACAAGGCACAGGCTTCAGCTACCTACTCCTTCCCCACTTTACTTCCCGTCCTTCCATTCTTTCGTCTGCTCCTTTACTCGCCCTCTTCACTTCTACTCGTCTTTTCTACTCGTCTTTTTTACTCCTACTCTGCTGCTCTCTTCCTCTACTCATTTCCGCCACTCCTGCTCAACTCCACTCTTCACTCATCTACTCCTCCCCTCTCTCTCTCTCTCTCTCTCTCTCTCTTACTCTCAACTTCTATTGTGCGTTATTTACGTTCATATAATTCAAATTAAGCAGCTGAGCTTTTGAGTTCGTTGCTGTTTGCTAGTTATGCGCGCATCTTAACACCAGCCATGTGCGTGCGAGCGAGAGAGAGCATGAGAGAATCGATCCCTTTTTACTGAACAATGGAGCAAATTCGTACGCCGCGTGCCAAAAGTTTTGATGAACTACCTTGCGGCGTCTGCTTCCTGGAAGCGTTTCGCTTGCAGCCAAGTTGTCGTTTTTTTATATATTTCTTTTTTCATTATTATTATTTTTTCTGTCTTTTTCTTAACCCTTTTTGATGGCGCGCTCTCAAGGCAGCGACGTCGCGTCGCTGCCGCAGCGGCTCGTGCTGCTGACGTTGCGAAAAGTTTACAATTAAATGATTTAAACAATGTTTTTTGCCTTTTTACGGTTTACACCTGTTTGAGTTCAAACTATAAATAAACCATGACGTAAATACCCACAGCCACGGTTCGCCACAGATCCAAAACTAAATCCGTTCCCTC